CATTTTCCAGATGTAGAAACTTAGCCTCATAGAGGTTAATTCTCATGCCTGAAATCACACGGTTTGCTGCAGAGCCCGAATGTAAATTTGGAGCTCTTGACCCTTTTAGTTCATTGCTTTCTCTTTCCTCTTTTCCATCCCCTCTCCACTTGTAGTCTTTTCCTAGATAGGATTCTGATGATGCTATGGATGTACTGCCTCTATAAATACAACCGTGTCCCACGTTTGTGTGTGTTCTTCAAAACTTGTATTGCGTATTGTCTGCTGCTGTTAATTTCACAAGTGATCAGGTTGATTGTATGGCGAGCCCATCTATCATTTTGAATTACATTGTTATAGTCAGCTTATGCTTTATAACTTGAGGAGCAGGTTTGGGGATAATTGAAATTTTAAAGCATCACCCAGGTTTTGCTTGGTGTTCTCTTGTACCACATTCTCTTTCTGATCAGCAGTTCTTCTAATGAAGAGCAGAGGTGACTTGTTTATGTTTGGATCCTTCCATTTACCTTGACCTTTGTCAGTTGAATGTACTTGAAGTGGCATGACTAGCGAGCAGTGAATGAGAGAAAGAAAGAAAAAAGAAATCTTGAATAATCCATGAATTTCATAATCCTGGAATGCATCAAGAGTGAAGAGTGAAGTATATTTAGCCTTATGACCTTTTAAATGCTCTAATTATAATATTTTAAATAGGGAAGTAACTATTTTCTATCCTACTCAGATTAGTGTGTATATTATTTAATACCGTTTATGTTGGAACATAATTCTATATTTTGGAAAGGAGTAATTTTCCATTAGCTTTGCAGTAAACATTGTTGAATTTCTACTGTATTTGTGTTACTCTTGTGCTCCTAATGTTAATGTTTGATCAGTATATTTTTAATCAAAATTTGATTAAAATTTTGAGTGTGATCAGTTTTGGTTCAGCTTAAGGAAGGTGAAGGTAAGATCATAGTTTTTTTCATTAGCTCCGGGAAGTTACCCTGGTTTAATCAGTTTTGTGTCTCTGATAGTGCTTGTCATTTAACATGGTGCGGTGATTATTTTTTTTAAATTTTTAACGTTTATTAATATTTGAGAGACAGCGTGAGCGGAGGAGGGGGAGAGAGAGAGGCAGAGAGGCAGAGAGACAGAATCCGAAACAGGCTCCAGGCTCTGAGCTGCCAACCCAGAGCCCAACGTGGGGCTCGAACTCCTGGATGGTGAGATCATGACCTGAGCCAAAGTTGGATGCTTAACCAACTGAGCCACGTAGATGCCCCCATAGTGCAGTGATTCTTAGCCAGGAACAGTTGTGTACCCTGGGGCACATTTGGTAATGTCTGGAAACATTTTTGATTGTCACAACTGTATTGAATGCTATTAGCATCCAGTGGGCAGAGCCTAGGAACTGCTAAATATCCTTCAGTGCATTGGACAACCCCCCAGAGAATCCTCTGACCTCAAACAGCGGTAGTGAGAAAACTTCATGTGTGGTAGTTGCACCATAAAGCATATTGTATTACAAAATGCATTCATTCTATTAAGCATTAAGCTTTATATATTTGTATTCACTTACCAATTTGATGATGCACAAGGGAGAATTTAGCTCTTGGCTTCATTATGCTCAAAGTATTAAAACAAAATTTTGGCAATTATAATTGATTTTAGGTTCATTGTATTCAATGGAAATAGTATAATATTATAATCAAATGTTAATCACTAGTAAGGTTCAATGTTCTTACTTTGCGCTTCCCTTCTTCCTCAGGAGAGCTTCTTGGAATCAATATTGTGTATTATTCTCTGCAATATTTGCACTTGGATCTGACATAATCAATTCTGTGGAAAATTTAATTATCCAGATGTCTAAATCAGTAATTAATCTGGATAATCCTTATTCTACTATATTCTACTTCATCTCCTCTTTAGTGTAAAAATCTGAAATACAAAATAGAATTGCTGAATCCAATGGCTAGCAAGACAAGCCTTCAGCTTCATATCACAAAGCTAGAGTAGTTCCCACAATCCCAGTGAAGTAGAAGTTAAAATTTAGTGGTTGGTCATATGTGCATCATTTCTGATCCTACTTTAAAATTACTACCTCTTGGGGCACGTGGGTGGTTCAGTCGGTTAAGCGTCTGACTTCAGCTCAGGTCATGATCTCATGGTTCCTGAGTTTGAGCCCCACATCGGGGGCTCTGTGCTGACAGCTGAAAGCCTCGGATTCTTTGTCTCCACACTGTTCCCCTACCCCCACCCCTCCGCCTCTCTCCTGCTCACACTCTGTCTCTCTTTCTCTGTCTGTCTCTCAAAAATAAATACATATTAAAAAAAATAAAATTGCTACCTCTTATTTCAATTGACCTGGTTTAATTTGTACAAAACTTAAACAGTAGATAGGAAATAAAGGAGATAGATGCTTAAGTTTTTCATGGGATGAGGAGTGAGAAGGAGGAAGGGATGACTTATAAGCACTTAAGTGCTCTGTGATCACACACATATGTGGTAATACACAGTGATGTGATAACTTGTTGGATATTCTCCTTAAATGGTCATCAGTGCCACCATTAGATGAGGGATTAATGGATGGTCATATGTGATACTCCTCACTTCAATATGGTGCTTGGTGGGAGAAAAAGGCATACCTAAAATTAGCAGGTACTGTTCTTTCCTTTTTATTCATGTTTACGAACATGACCTGCTGAACTCTCACTCTTAGAAATTTGGCCGATCTGACATTCCTCGGAGACTTTCAGGACTGGTAACATTTGTTCATTAATATCTGTGGCAGCTAGAGTAGAAGCAATTCTAGATAGGTTTAAGTGCCAGAGAGTTTGGAATTTGGAAATAGGATTTTGATACGATTTCTGCGTGTTGGCAGAAAACGTTGGAGCGATCCCTCAGCAATGGCAGTAATCTGATCAGTCAGAAATAGCCTGTGCTTTAACAAACAGGAGGCTGCCAGCGTGTGAAGCTAGTGCATGATAGATTAGGTGAGGTTGACTAGAACATAGATGGGGTTATACTATTGCAGAAACCGTGTAGTCGTGTCAAGCAGGAGAGTCTCCATGCGACCGATCTGCCATACTTCTCTCTTGAAGAGTGAGAAAAATTAGAACACTTCCCAATTCTTAACCTCCCTCTTCAGTTACTGGTTTGGAACTACTGCTCTCAGGTAGTAGTTCTCAACCCTGGCAACACGTTAGAATTGCTGAAAGAGTTTTTAAAAATTACTAATGCATGTGCTCCACTCCTTGCAACCCCAGTATAATTGAGGCTTAGGTTTTGGAGTTTTTATTTTTATTTTCTATTATTTTTTATAATATATGTTTTTTAAATTTTGAGATAGAGCACAAGTGAGGGACAGAGAGAGAGAGAATAGCATGCAGGGTCCATACTGTCAGCACAAAGCCTGATACAGGGCTCAGGCTCTTTAAATGTGAGATCATGACCTGAGCCGACGTCAGACACTTAACTGAGCCACCCAGGCGCCCCGAAGATCACTGCTTTATAGTGGAGCATCTCCGCTCCAGTTGTTTGGAGGGCTATTTATGAGGTCAGGGCTGGGGCCTGAGAATTCATGTGCATTTCTAGTAAGTTCCCAAGTGATGTTGATATTGCTGGGAAGGCAGTCACATTTTGAGAATCCCCAAGAAGACAGTCTTAAAATATATTGGGGTTTAATTGATGGTTTGACTTTTTAAATTGCCAGTTTGATGGTTTTTTAAATATTGCTAGAGACACATTATAGAGTTAAAATTTGAGATTAAAGAATATTATATATATGATTCCTTTTACATGAAACAAGAAAGGTTGCTTTTTTAAAAATAATAATCATCTTATTAAAAACATTTTTTGGAGGAAAAAGCTAGATCTATAATAATCCAAAGCTTTGTATAGTACTTCACAGTGTAATAAAAAGCTAATGAATTTACTATTTCTAATTGGCTTTTTGAGCATTTAAAATAACTTGTGGGTTTTTTTCTTTTTTAAATCTCATTACATAAGAATCCTTCAGATTTCATATCTTCCATTTTATTTTTAAAATTTTTTTAAAGTTTATTTTATTTGAGAGAGAGCAGGGGAGGTGCAGAGAAAGAGGGAAAGAGAATTCCAAGCGGGACTTGAACTCACGGACTGTGAGATCATGATCTGAGCTGAAATCAAGAGTCAGAGTGAAGACCTTATGTTTTACAGTCTTTATGTTTTATAGTCTCTTTAGATATCTTAATGGATGGAGCTCAAAAAAATACTCCTTTTTCATCCATAGACATTTAAACAATTCTCAGTTTGGAGAGTTGGTTTTGAGATGGGAGAAATGTTTTCTTTTTTCTTTTATTATTATTATTTTTAAAATGTTTATTTACTTTTGACAGTGAGTGGGGAGAGGCAGAGAGAAAGAGACACAGAATCAGAAGTAGGCTCCAGGCTCCAAGCTTTAAGCAAAGAGCCGAATGCAGAGCTTGAACCTACGAACCTTGAGATCATGACCTGAGCTGAAGTCGGACACTTAACCGACTGAGCCACCCAGGCACCCCTGATTTCTTTTTTCTTAAATATGCTGGAGGAACAGAGCCATACACTGAGAAGAATGGGAACACATGGAAGCTGAGAGGGAGAGAGTGCTTACAAGGTGGGGCAGCCTTAGTGGAAAGGGAACCTTCCAGGTTTGGAAACGGAGGAGGAGGAGGTTCCCTGTGACTTGCAGGAATGAAGGAAGCAAGGGGATGGATGGAAATGAGGGAGCCACCAGATTCAGGAGCTTGCCCAGAGTTAATATATGGTGTTATTCTCAAATTTGGGTCCCTGAGACTCAGTTGATTGTCTTTTCTGCAAAACAGATAAAGGAGAAAAGTTTATTTCTAATGACCCAGCTCTGCAACCAATGATTGTTTTGTGACAGTTAAGAATCCTGGAAAAAAGTTTCTTGGTGGTATTGGGTTTCTGTTGCTACATTTGGATATTGAGAATTTGTAGTGCTAAAAATGTCAGCTTCCAATGTGCCTTTCTGTGCTTTTCAGAAATCCTCCTCAGCCTTTGATCACTGTGCTTGAACACAGACCTGATTGCTGGCCAGTACTTCTGCAGCAGCTGACGGCATTTTTCCAGCAATGTCCTGAAAGGTAATGTAAAATAAAATGCGGGAGATAGAATGGCATATGCTCATTTTAGAGCTTTTTTTTTTTTAAGCTGCTTTCATTATGCTGTTTTCTGTTGAAGAAATGTCTTAGAACAGAGTATACTTTCCCATTTTCTTTTTGAGAGTAAAAAAAAACCTACCAGATTTAATTGATAGTTGAAGTATGGAATATGAGAAAAAATATTAAAGAAGTTAATAAGCATTGGTTAGGTGGGAAAGTTGATTAGAAATAGTAAACGACTACACAGTGCATAAAAAACGTTCTTCCTCCTGGAAGTTGACTTGTGAGTTTTCTCTCCATTAGAAACTGCCAATTTGGGGGCACACGGGCGGCTCAGTCAGTTCAGCATCTGACTTCGGCTCAGGTCAAAATCTCATGGTTCGTGGGTTCGAGTCCCACGTCGGGCTCTGTGCTGACAGCTCAGAGCCTGGAGCCTGCTTTGGATTCTGTGTCTCCTTCTCTTTCTGCCCCTTGCCCTCGTTCATGCTCTGTCTCTCTCACTCAAAAATAAAGAAAACAAAAGAAAAAGAAAGAATGAAACCTGCCATTGGGATCAAGTAATCCAGGCACACAGGAGGTTATTTAGCTTCACCAGGGCATTGTACTGGACCTGAACCCCCTCCCCCCACCCCGTTTCTTCCATCCTTACTGCAATGACACTGACTCATATTATCTCTTGCTGTGGCTTTTGCCACCTGTTCCTAAGTGGCATCTCTGCCTCCCATCTCAGTCCTGCTCACAGTGATTCTCTAAACATTCATCAGGGTGTTCTATTGAGAGAGCACATCTTGTTGTATCACTCCTTTGCATAAGTCAGCACAACTGTGGTTTTCCAAACTGCATTTGTGTAGTACAGGCCAAGCCTGTGGGCTACCGTTAGCTCTTTTGCTAGAACTTCCGTGTTGATATCTTATGAAAGCTTTTACCAGAAAACAGCGGTATGGCTCCTGAAATAGTTGGAAAATCATCAGGCTAGAGGGTAAAATCTACCTGTTTGCCCAGTTTTCTCTTGATCTGCTCATTGATGGATTGTGTATTTCAGCAGTACGCTGACTTGCGTTTCGTTCCACACAGAAAGCCATGCTGTGCTCTTGACTATGCTTTTGCTTATCTGTATCTACCTTACTCTTGAATTTTACCCCGTTTCCTGACTCATTTCTCTGTTTATGTAAAAAAAAATTTTTAATATTTATTTTTTTTTGAGAGAGAGAGAGAGAGAGAGAGAGAGAGAGAGAGAGAGAGAGAGAGAATGTAAGGCAGGCTCCAGGCTCTGAGCTGTCAGCACAGAGTCTGATGCGGGGCTTGTACTCAGGAACCATGAGATCATGACCTGAGCCAAAGTCAGACCCTTAACCAACTGAACCATCCAGGTGACCCTCACTTCTCTTAAATTTCTCTGCTTGGAAGTCCTCCCTTACTACAAGCTGAATGAGGTGTCTCTTTTATGTGCTCTTACAATAACTTCTGCTGTGGTTTCTAACATTATTATACTTCATTGTCTTTTAATTACTCTCTATGAAAACTTGCATTAGTCTTTGTATTAATAATCCTTGTCCCATTTCTAGGTGCTCTATAAGTGTTGAATTTATGTACATGAGGCACACATTTTGGCAGGGCTTAGGAAGTGGGTTGCCAGAGGGCCTCCTGGCATATAATAAATATCACTGCATACTTAGTACCATTATGCAGTGATGGGACACCATCGTGCTGTGTCCACCAGTGCCTCAGTTACATTCAGCCCACCGGCTCCATTCACCTTCCCTTGCTCTTGAAGGTCTTACAGTGACCTATAGATGCTTTCTTAGAACACCATCTCTGAGTCCATAACTTCAATGTTATGTGAGATTTCTAGGCACAGTGTACTACTCCAAGAAGTTTTGAAAGGCACAGGGAACCTTAAATCATGTGCCAGTGAAAATTATTCATGTGACATTTGGATGAATAGCTCAAAATAAACATCACTGTCCTCTTTTTCCTTACCTAGATTGGTGTTTTCAAAGGTGAGATATTAATATTTCCTAAATAAGCCTTTACTCATCTTTTCAGAAAGTAACAAACTTAAAAATACTTTAAAATTTACTTTTTCCCCCTTTTAAGAAAATTTAAATTTTATTTAACATACAGTGCAATATTGGTTTTAGGAGTAGAATTCAGTGATTCCTCACTTACATACAACACCCTGTGCTCATCACAAGTGCCCTGTTTAGTACCCATCATCCATCTAGTCTGTCTCCTACTCACCTCCCTCCATCAACCCTCTGTTTGTTCTCTGTCATTAAAAGTCTTTTGTCATTTGTTTCCTTCTTCTTTTCCTCTTCCTATATGTTCATGTTTTGTTTCTTAAATCCTACATGTGAGTAAAATCATGGTGGTATTTGATTGACTTATTTCACTTAGCATAATACATTCATTCTCCATCCACATCATTGCAAATGGCAAGATTTCTTTCTTTTTGACGGCTGAGTAATATTCCATTGTATATATATACACTACATGTTCTTTATCCATTCATCAGTTGATGGACATTTCTACCCTCTCCATAGTTAAGCTATTGTTGATAATGCTGCTATCAACACTGGAGTGCATGTACCCCTTTGAATCTGTATTTTTGTATCCTTTGGGCAAATACCTAATAATGCAATTGCTGGATTGTAGGGTAGTTTTATTTTTAGTTTCTTGAGGAACCTCCGTAGTGTTCTCCAGCTTGGCTGTACCAGTGTGCATTGCCACCAACAGTGCAAGAGGGTTCCCCTTTCTCCGCATCCTCACCAACACCTGTTGCTTCTTGTGTTGTTAATGTTAGCCATTCTGACAGGGGTGATGTGGTATCTCATTGTGGTTTTGATTTGTATTTCCCTGATGATGAGTGGTGTTGAACATTTTTTCATGATAAACACATTTTTAAAATGACATTTCTTGCTGTTATTAAATAGATAAGAATGTTTTATAAAAGATACTCCTGCTGACATGCCAAATTTATTATTAAGCTTGTGTTTAGGGTAATCCTTAAGAATACATTTCTGGGACACCTGGGTGGCTCATTCAGTTAAGTATCAGACTCTTGGTTTCAGCTCAGATCATAATCTCAAGGTTTGGGAGATTGAGCCCTGCGTCCGGCTGTAGGCAGGATTACTGGTATTATCTTTCTCCCCCTCTCTCTCTTCCCCTCACCTACTTGTGCTTTCTCTCAAAATAAATAAACTTAAGAAAAAAGAAAACATTTCCAATTCTTTAGTCAATATGTAATTAATTATCTTTTGGTTATTTTCATTTGGAAGGAGTATTATGTTGGGATTTGGAAATAGTTATTTTAATGAAATTTGTCCACATATTTATAAGGTAAAAAAGATTATTAATTAACTTTGGTTTATTCACTGATAAGCCTCTTTTCATTTAAATTCTCAGATGTTAGATTATTCTATCTAGAGCCTTTAGGAAGTTATAAATTAAGTTTATTGGCCAAGAATAATTTCAGTGGTCTCCTTTCTACTTCTACACTATGGGATTTTTCTTTGCAAGATGAAATTGATAATTCTGGTTGCATTTTTCAGCAGTCCATTAGCTTCCAGAGATTTAATTTTAGAGTTAGTTAACTTAGTCACTTAGTCCTTAGTAACTTTAGTTGTTTGGAAGGTAATGAAGGAATGTTGGTGATTTATTTACTGAGAATATAAATAGTGATTCACAACTATGGGAAGAAGTATGTTGCGAAGGTAACTTGTATTCTAGCTCTTTCTGTGTTAGGAATTGTTGATTAGCTGTCTGGGCTCATTTTGAATAGTATGTAGATGTCCCAAAATGATGATTTATCTTCATGCTAGATATTTTTGGGTGTTATTTTCTAATTATCTTGCATTCATTTATATAAGACCTGTGATATTAAGACTTCACCATCATAGAACTGAGAATTGCATAATTTGTCAACAACGTCATGGTGTTGGATACTTTAAGGTTACCTAGTCTTACCTATAATTTCTCAGATGAAGGAATGATGGAGAGCAACATCAAAGGACTTACCCAAGGTCAGATAGTTGGTTAGAGGTTGAGATGCACCTAAAGCCTCAGGTTTTTTTACTTTCATTCCAAGTTTTTCGACACTACTACTCCCTCCGTGAACATAAGTAGAAAAGACTTGTGTGTAGATATATGTACAGTCAGCTACGTTTGGAAGCATTTTCTTTTTCTTTTTCTTTTTTTTTTAATTTATTTGTAGGAGAGAGAGAGAGAGACAGCGTGAGCAGGGGAGGGTCAGAGAGAGAGGGAGTCACAGACTGAAACAGGCTCCAAGCTCTGAGCTGGCAGTCAGCACAGAGCCCGATGCGGGGCTTGAACCCATGAACCGCGAGATCATGACCTAAGCGAAAGTCGGACGCTTAACCGACTAAGCCACTCAGGCGCCCCTGGAAGCATTTTCTTTTTTAAATTTTAGAGGAGAGCGAGTGAGCAGTAGAGAGGGAAGATCCTGGTTTGAAGGTCTGTCCCACAACCCTGAGATCGTGACCTGAGCTGAAGCCAGAGTCAGACACTCAACTGTTTGAGCCACGCATTTTAAGTGGGAAGAGCTTAAGAGGCAGAACTTGGCAAATTACTTTAATAATTCCTTGTGTATATGAAACATTAAAATGAAATTACAATATTGGATGCATACTGATTGTAAAACTATGACTTAGAGTAAGTGAATCGATTAATTTAGTGATTGAGCATCTCTTTGGAGGCCTGCCTAGTATGTAGTCATTGTTGATTCAGCAGTAAACAGTCAACAGAAATCCATGCTGTCCTTTGGCTTATAGTCTGCCAGGAGATAGAGATATTAAAAAATAATGACAAATTAAGTCTTTGTCCTGCGGAACCACATAATGGGGATTTGCCCTTGGCTGGGTGTGACTCAGGGAATCATTTGAGAGGAGGGAACTGGAAAATGATAGGAATTAGCAGAGGAAGGAACAGGGAAGGAAGAAAGACGAGAATGTGAGAGGGAACAGAAGTGGGAAGAAAGCTCAGATATCTTGATTGACCATCTGAAAGACATTTAGTGTAGCTTGGGGGAGCAGGGTGCTAAATAACCTCTCTTAAGTGAGGGGGAGGCATACTTTTTTAAGCTGCTTAATAACCCTATCAAATTTTTATTTATTATATTTTTTAAAATATTTATTTGTTTTTGAGACAGAGACAGAGCATGAGCAGGGGAGGGGCAGAGAGAGAGGGAGAGACAGGATCCGAAACAGGCTCTGAGCCTGTCAGCCCAGAGCCCGATACAGGGCTCGAACCCTCGAACCATGAGATCATGACCTGAGCCGAAGTCGGACACCCAACTGACTGAGCCACCCAGGCGCCCCCTATCAAATTTTTATATGTGGAAGGTCATTCTGGCATTTTAGTGACTTTGAATGTGGAATTATTGGGATATATTGCAATCCAAAATGATAGGAAAAATTTGTAAATTCTTCCTCCTTTTTTTTTTGAGAGAGGGAGAGAGAGCGTGCAATCATGGGTAGGGGAACAGGGCAGAGGGAAATAGGGAGAGAATCTTAAACATGCTCCATGCTCAGTGTGGAGCCTGGTGTGGGGCTCGATCCCAAAACCCTAGGATCATGACCTGAGCTGAAATCAGGAGTCGGATGCTCAACCGATTGAACTGCCAGGTGCCCCAAGGCTTCTTCCTTTGAGTGGGAGGAGTGTAAGATGCAGGACTTGGCAAATTACTTTACTTCTCCCTGCTTTATTTCTGCATCTGCATAATGGCATAATTTTTTTCATAGCGTTTTGTTGAGGATGAAATGAGCTGAAAGTCATAAAGTGCAGTAACTTGCATACCACATGTGTTAGCAATTTTACAAGTCAGTGTTGACTGTTGTTAGAATGTCTGTATGGTTTTGTCTTACCTAGAACTTCACCTGTAGAGTTTTTCCAAAAATGCATGTCTATGTCCTATTCCTGGAGAGTGGATCCTGATGTCTGTAATTCCGGAAAGGTTCTCAGATAATTTTGCTCTTCGTCAAAGACTGGTCCCGCAGATGTAGATGTTATTCTAGAATGCAAGTAGAGGTTCTCTTAGTGCTGGGTAGCAGGCTTATGATCTCCAGGTGTTGTCATTTTCCCCAGTGAAGGAGGAGCTGCTTGGCATAGATCCAGGTAGGTCATGGTGGAATGGTTGAATCACAAAAAATTGACACTTGAACGTATCATAGCTTTTCATGAACTCTAAATTGATGTTTGACAATTACTGCTTGGTACCTTGTTCAACTTGGTGACTGGCTTCTGCATTATGTGACTTGCAGGTCAGAAGTTTCATGTATCCAAATAATGGCACCGTTTCTGTGGTATCTGTATTGCGAACCATCCCAGTTACAAGAATACTCTAAACTCCGCCTGACCCTGCGGAAAGTCTTACTTCAACCCCGGATTCCTTGTGACCCAGAGCGGCCATCAACATTGGAACAACAGATTCTTCAACTGTGTTGTGACATGGGTCCATGTCTGCAGGTGAGGCCTCGTGTCCTCCTCGACTAATGCAGCGTCAGCATCAGCAAGTGTTGGTTGTTATCATCATGCATAAAGTAGAACCCATGTGATCTGCAAACTCAAATACAGGCTTGGGTCTAGAAACATTTGCAGGCTTTTAGAGATGATGAAGGAACCAAATCTAGATTCAACATTAATACATATGATGTTAACTGGCTTCACAGAAATATAAATCGGGACGCCTGGGTGTCTCAGTCGGTTAACTCTCCAGCTTCAGTTCAGGTCATGATCTCACGGTTTGTGAGTCTGAGCCCTGCATCGGGCTCGCTGCTGTCAGCACAGAGCTTGCCTCAGATCCTCTGTCCCCTCTCTCTGTCTTTTCCCTGTTCACATGTGTGCAAGCTCTCTGTCTCTGGCTGTCTCTCTCTCTCAAAAGTAAGCATTAAAAATAAAGTTTAGGGGCACCTGGGTGGTTCAGACCATTAAGCATCCGACTTTGGCTCAGGTCATGATCTCGTGGTTCATGAGTTCAAGCTCTGCGTTGGGCTCTGTGCTGACAGCTGAGAGTCTGGAGCCTGCCTCAGATTCTGTGTTTTCCTCTCTCTGCCCCTTCCCTGCTGTACTCTGCCCCCCTCTCTCTCTCTTTCAAAAGTAAATAAACATAAAATAAATAAAGTAAAAAAGATATAAATCAACATAATCCATTTTAGGACTAGTAAGAATGAAAACTTTTTGTTGTTTAAGAAAAACTTCTCAAGGAAGAGACTTTGAGTTGAGTTTCTCCTTGTGCTAGACGCTGAGAGAGTTACAAGGGGAAATAAAGTCCTCTGGACAAGTTAGAAGAAGGTTTGTCTTTGGGAAGATACAGCCTTGGGGGTGTGGGGCTTGACCGGCTCAGTGCTGGCTCGATTCCAGTTTTCACACATCAAGCAGTGACCCCGACTCTTCTTGTTCTGCGTGGGAGAAGGCCAGAGTCTAGGACGGGAGTTAAGGCAAGTATATAAATTTGCTTAATTTGAAGTAGATGGATAAAAGATGTCTAACAGATAATCTAAAAGATTATCTAACAGGATAAAATGCCTAGGAAGTTCAAGGGAGAAATAAATATGAGCTAATGTCTCTGTAACTGTAGATTTTTTAAAGTTTTAAAAACTTTTAATTGTTTTTGAGAACGAGCAAGCATGAGTGGGAGAGGGGTGGAGGGAGAGAGAACTTTTTTTTAATTATTATTATTTTTTTAATGTTTATTTTTGAGAGAAAGAGCACAAGCAGAGGAGGGGCAGAGAGAGAGGGAGACACAGAATCTGAAGCAGGCTCCAGGCTCTGAGCTGTCAGCACAGACCCTGACATGGGGCTTGAACCCACAAACTCTGAGATCATGACCTGGGCCAAAGTCAGATGCTTAACCGACTGAGCCACCCAGGTGCCCTGAGAATGGGAGAAAGCAGGCTCCACACTCAGTACAGAGCCAGATGTGGGATTGATCTTAAACTATGAAATCATGACCTGAGCTGAAGAAATTAAGTCAGATGCTTAACTGACTGAGCCACCCAGGAGCTCCTATAACCACAGATTAACACACACACACACACACACACCAGTTGCCAGTGTGTTGTGGTATTAGTGTCATGATTATCAGGCTGTCCCATCTTATTGTCAAGGTTTGTCATTTGCCTAGACTCTGAGAGCACGCTGCTTAGCTGATGGAGGGAATCTGTGAATATTTTTCAGAGCAATCACTTGAGGTCACAGATGACCTGTTTTGAGTTTGTGTTCCCAAAGAGTGACTAGAGTGAATCTTTCCTTTGCGACTCATAAGTAGGCTTTCCTGTAATCAAGGCAGAGAAAAGGAAATTAAAATGAATTCTCCTGTGGGCTTTCCAAAGCTTTTGTTTTGTATGGGCAATAAAGCCATGTGTAGGCAACACATCTTGACCCGGGGTGCACTTTCCCCCACCACATGCCTGCCTGAAACGCTTCTGTGCTCTTTGATGCACGTTTGCATTCCTCTCCGCGAACTGATATTGACAAGCCAAACTAACTTCTAGCAGTGAGCTCTGTGCAACATTTCTAGAAATCTGTGGTTTGTTATAGTCCTGATAGGTGAGAAAAAAAGGGTTACGTTATTTTGAATTAATGGAACTATTGACAAAGACATTTAATCAGGTAACAAATCAGCTTTATTAGAATATGAAGTCTCTCCATCTGGAGCAATCTTATTGGCAACGTCATGCGTTTTCCTACTGATGACTGGTATTTCTTCCATGCTCTGAGATACCCATGACGAGTGAAATATTTTAGTGATAGGAAGCATGCTATTTTGCAAGACAGCCTTTTTCTTTTTTTTTAAGTACTTCTAATTGACCTGAATTTTCCTGAGATTTCACCCATTAGTCTCCCTTCTTTGTAGAACAAAGCAAAGTAGGCTTTTGAAAAGAGCCCATCTGCATCCTATTTTGTGTTGTTTGTTTCTCTCTCCTTTCTCTTTCCTCCTTTTCATCCATTCCTCCTTTCTTTCCTTCATCACTTTTTTTTACTAATGTTTCCAGACTTTTCACTGTCCGTTGCTAGGATTTCTTTAGCTAATCAATGATCAGAATGTGTTACTATGAAATGTTCTTCTTAGAGCTGATTAAACTCCTATACTTGTGGTCTGACACATACTGTGCACTTGAATAGAATCTCACTAATTTAAAAAAAAATTTGTTTTAGAGATAGCCATGCTACCTTGTTCACCGATGATGGAATCCTAGTCAAGGAAATCCTATTTTCTTTTCACATCAGTTGCTCTTCTGTGTTGTATTTGTGGAATTGCCTTTTTTTTTTTTTTTTTACCTGTCTTAAACATCACTGTTGACTTTGTCGAAGACTTTGGTTCATTATTATTTTTTTTATTTTTTATTTATTTTTAAGAGCAAGAGAGACAGCACGAGCAGGGGAGGGGCAGAGAGAGAGGGAGACACAGAATCGGAGGCAGGCTCAGTGGTCAGCACAGAGCCCGACGTGGGGCTCAAACTCACAGACCGTGAGATCATAACCTGAGCTGAAGTCGGATGCTTAACTGACTGAGCCACCCAGGTGCCCCAGACTTTGGTTCATTCTTTTTAATTGTGACTCTTGTCATCACACATGTTGTCTCTTGTACACGACCTATTGCTACTTTGTAAATATTGTTAAAATTTTTCATAATATTACAGGTTAGAGAGTGCTAACTTGCTGAGGTTGTCCTAAAATTTTTTTATTATGTAAAGTTTCAAGTATGCACAAAAAATACATTCAAGGAAATACATTGTCCAATAAACTCGAGGGCTTGTTTTGTTTTAAATCCCTTTTCTTAGTGGCTTTTCTCCTTTCTCATTGTATTTTTGCAAAAGAGCAAAATAATTTAGCTATTGGATTGTTCACATTTACTTTTAATAACTTAGTATTTTCTGTGTCCCTTGATCTTTTAATATCTTTTTTTTTTCTCTTTCGTTTGCTAGGAATTAATTTTTTTCTTTGTATAACTTATAGTCATTTTGGGTTATTACAGTGGTAACAACTGGTGAAAGGTACAGCTGGTCAACTGTAGGCTTTCGTCTGGATGAATTTAACAGACACAGGGCTTCTGATTGAAGCAGATGGTTCATTGTTTGTAATCTCTGGGAAATGCCAGTGTGTCTGTGAGTAGGACCATATCCTTAATACTAACTCCAGAATTTTGATCGGAACAGCTGGGTTTGAATTGAATTGGGATTTTCAAGAGCACCCAAGTCCTTCCTATCTAATACATTAGCCTGTTGAGTAGACACCCTACCATTTGAATATGGTCTTTCATTCCATCTGCCAAGTGTGGAAATGATGCTCTCTGTTAAGGTTGTCTGAGCAAATATCTTCCAGATGAAGGGCTTAGGAGTACATTAGACTAACATGCCAACCCATTTCTTCCAGGTAACTATGTTGGAATTATAGAAAGGAGAGTTCATTTGGAGAACTCAAAACCAGCTTTAATTAGTTTCCTTCAACATGTTGGCACTGTCATGTAATTTGTCCTAAAGAAGAAAAAAACTTGCCCTCAGAGAAAATAAATGGAAAGAATTTGTGCCAGCCAGCAGCAACGAAAACAGTAGCAAATTGTATTTTGGCTTTTGACCAAAAAAAGGCAGAGTTGATACACGGTTTAATCCTCTTTGAATTATGTAAATTTTTTCATCTCTTTAAGTCTTCATAGATTTAGAGAAAATTATTGCTAAAGCTTCTTATATAGTGTAAAATTATCCTTTTGTTTTATATATTGTTGTAATATCATACAGTGATGTTTTTTAAACAGGTAAAAGATTTGATCCAGACAACAGAAGTGATGATGTTTATTGAAGAAGTATATTTAAGCCTTCTGCGTCATCCCATTTTCTGGAAAATTCAGCTTACCCAGCTGACCCTTCAGCTCTTGTGTGTCTGTGAAGTCAGCTTACAAATAACTGGAGAATGTTCATCTTTAATTCACCTTTTAGAGCACAGTGTTGAACTTCTGAAGGAGGTAAGGATACTATGAAATTTTAATACACCTCTTGTCACTTAAGTGGGTCTTTCAATAGCAGGGTGAGTGTATTCTTTTAATTCATTGCATATCAACGGTGTTTTGATCAAATACCATTAGATCATACTATTAATGTGCTACTGCTGTCATCTGTTATAAAAATGAGTCACCCAATTTGGAGCACCAGTTAAAGGTCTACCACTGTGGCATTTTGTTTTTCATTTGTTCATGTACAAGTATTGAACCCCTATTATATGCTAGACCCTATAGAATATATATGTGAAAAGGTACATTTTGTGACCCCCAAGAGACTTACAGACATGCAGGTAAATAAAGTAAATAATCATAGGACAGTACATTAAATGCTTTTGTGGGAGGTTATGTAAAGTACAGTGGGAGGACGAAGTAAGAGAAGTAGGGCATGAGTTCAGACTGGAGGAAGCCTGAATGGGGGTTTGCCTCATACAATCCAGATGGCGGAAAGGCGTTCCAGCTGTGGAACAGCATGTGCCCAAACACAGAAACATGAGTAAGCCGGGCAGGCACGATCGTTTCAGAAAACAAGGTGTTCAGCAAGGTGTTGTTGACCGATCCAGATGTAGGGCCTGCTCTACCACGAAAGGTCTTGCATGCCACACACGTGAATTTGCATTTTATCTTCAAGGCCATGGCATGCTATGGAGACCTTCGTGCATCGAGGTGCCCTCCTGTTTTCGTGCATGGAAGATCATTGTGGTGGGGGGTGTGGAGGAGGTTTTAGAGCAGGGCCACATTACTGGGGCAGGAAAGGAGGAGGAGTATCTTAGACCACTGGGGTGGCCGTAACAAACTACCACGGAATGGGTGGCTTAAACGACACAAATTTGTTTTTCACACTCCTGGAGACCAGGAAGTCCAAGGTCAGGTGCTGGCTGACTGCATTCTGGTGAGGAATCTCTTCCTGGCTTGTAGACAGCTGCCTCCTTGCTGGGTTCTCCCAGGGTGGGGAGAGAGCAAGAGTAGCTATTACTTCTTCTTCTCCCCCTCCTCCTCCTCCTTTAGAGTGCAACATTTTTATTTATTTATTTTTTAAAAAAGAACACTGATCTTACTGGATGAGGGTCCCACCCTGGTGACCTCATTTACCTTTAATTCTGTACTCCAGATATAGCCACATTGGTAGTTAGGACTTCAACATATATATTTGTGTGTTGCAGGGTATCCTGCAACTTTCCTGAATTCATTTAATAGTTTTTCAGTGGAGGCTTTAGGGTTTTCTGTCTATAGTATATGTCATCAGCTGATGTGACCATTTTCTTTCTTTCTAATTTGGATGTCTTTTATCTCTTTTGCTTGCCTAATTCTTATGGCTAGGATTCCCATACGATATTGAATAAAAGTGGTGAGAGTGGGCATCCTTGTTTTGTTCCTGATCTTAGAGGGAAAGCTTTTAGCTTTCACCACTGAGTATGATGTGAGATGTGGGTTTGTCATTTATATATATATCCTTTATTATGTTAGAGAATGTTAGCTCTCTACCTACTTTGTTGAGAGTTTTTATCATAAATGATTGTTGAGTTTTGTCAAATGCTTTTTCTGCAGCTATTGAGTCGATCATATGATTTTTATTCTTCATTCTGTTAATGTGGTTCATCATTTGATCTGTGATTGAACCATCCTTGCATCCCTGAAATCCCACTTGATTATGATATATGATCCTTTAGATATACTGTTAAATATACTTTGCTAATACTTTGTTGAGGGTTTTTGCGTATGTGTTCATTAGGGCTATTGGCCTGTGGAATGACAGAATACTTTAATTGAAAACAACGAAATGATGCCTGTGAATGTCATATTTATGGTGTCTTCCTTTTGCTCAATATTTAACAATTTTAGAAGGAAGTAAATATAAATAGAACTGTTAAAATACTTGTGTTATATAATTTCCTGTCCCTGCCTCTGGCCCAGATTTTCTGAGGTTAACAAACAAAAAAAAAGAGCCTAAGAAAATTAAATTGCAAATGTATATCCTTTAAGGCTGTATACACTGTAATTGAAACATAATAAAATAGGGGTGCCTGGGTGGCTCAGTTGGCTGAGAATCGGACTCTTGATTTTGGCTCAGGTCATGATCTCACAGTCATGAGATCAAGCCCCTTGCTGGTCTCTGTGCTGACCATGGAGACTGTTTGGGATTTCCTTCCTTCCTTCCTTCCTTCCTTCTCTCTTTCTCTTTTTCTCTCTCTCTCTCTCTCTCTTTCTCTTTCTTTCTCTCTCTCTCTCTCCCTGTCCTTTTATCTCCTTCTCTCTTCCTCTCCCCCTCTCCCTGCTCCTCCCCTGTTCACATGCATGTTCTCTCTCAAAATAAATACAACATTTTAAAGAAACAAAATAAAGAAGAATAAAACACTCTTATCAGACTGAGGCTATATCTATATTTTTATATCACTAAGTTTATCAGCTGGATATGCAGTTCCAATATTACATTTACTTTTCCTTTCCCCTTTGTTACTTTTCTGTTCCTGTTTTGGAGCTGTGTCCTTGCATACTGAACATAGCTGTGTATCTTATGCTGTATTTGTTTCAGTGGATTTGGTTTTAGGTGAGTTCTTTTCAGCCCCGTTTGGATGATCATAACCTAAGGTCCTTTTCCATTTCAAGCAGAATACATTTATTTACTCTTATCAGCAAAACTAGACAAAACTGATAGAGCTAGAGAGAAGATTGGGTAGCTGTCAAAGTGAAGCAAGAGTTAAACATCTCTTTGGTAAGGCCAGGAACCTGGGTCCTTGAGGACTTTGCCATAGGTTGACTCCGTTCCACTTACCTGTCTTCACTGGATGTCTCAGTTTACATTTTCAGAGTCTTAGGAAAAATGATCTGATTGGCCCAGCTTGGATTGGTCCACTCTGACCAGAGGACCAGGGAACCAGGGGATTTGCTAAAGTCCTGGCCCCGGAGAATTGTTGAGCTGGCTTGCATCTCTCTTGTGTCTGTGCAGATACTTAATGGCTGCACAGTACTCAGTGGCTCAGTGATATCTTTCATTTGAATTGAGTCGAAAAAAAGTGTTGATTCCAAGGCTTCCTACTTTTAAGAGTCTTAGGGCATCTGGGGTGCCTGGGAGGCTCAGCTGATGAAGCGCCCAGCTCTTGATCTCGGTTCACGTCATGATCTCATGGTTCATGAGTTTGTACCCCTTGTCAGGCTCTGCGCTGACAGCTTGGAGCCTGCCTGGGATTCTCTCTCTGCCCCTCCTCTGCTCATGCTCTGTCTGTCTGTCTGTCTCTCTCTCTCAAAATAAATAAGCTTAAAAAAATAAAGTCTTGTAACATCTGTGGTCTAGTGTAAAGGTCCTCCTCTTTTATATTTTGCCTCCTTTCCCCATATCGGCTCTGAATTAGCCTGGGTTCCTCCAGAAGTAAACCCCTTGTTTCCCTAAAGTCAAGAGCAGAACTTAGGTTTCCTGAAAAGCCAAGCTTTCTGCAATAGGAGTTTATGTACAAGTGGGATACCAGGAAGCAAGTGGGAGAGGGATGGGGAGTATGAGGTACTGGGGATGGGAAAGGCCATACGAGTATCATCATGTCACCCTGTGCCTCAAGCAACCAGTTGCTTCATCTCCTAGAATATTCTGAGAAGTGTTATGAAGTATGTCTCAGAACCCTCCAGAAGGAGCCAGATAAAAGGGAGAAGCATTTATCTCTTAGCTTCTTTTGACCATTTGTCAAATGTTGGCCTCTGGGGCTTTAACTGCTCTGTCCTCTGGGGCAGGAGGCATGAGTTACAGGAGCAGTACAAGTCATATGTGACATGTTTAACATAGTCTTTTATTAAAAGACCTCAGGAAGTGCTACCATTCGTTGGTCTACATTAAAAGTCAGCTAATCAAACAAAAACGTCCAGAACTGTACACAAGTTAAGAGGATCTAGTATAATCCCCTGCTCTTCATTTTCCTTCGTTTTATGCCTTGCCCTCCATCTCATTTCTTTCTGTTCCGAACAGGCCAGTCTCCCCCTTCTTGGAGAATGCCTTTTGTACGTGGGTCTTCCCACCTTTAAGTTCCAACCACTTAGTCCGTGTCAAGACCCTGAAAAGCTATGTTGTGGCCCTTGTGATGACAGCTTGTATGAAAAAAGCTTTGCAGTGATAGCCTTGCTTTAAAGTCATACTTTCATTGGTCTGTGATCCTGTTGGTAGCCAGTAAATTTGAAATTTAAATGACCTTGCTGCTTTTTCTTTTTTTAATTAAAAAATGTTTTTGATGTTTATTTTTGTGTGTGTGGAGGGAGAGAGACAGAGAGAGGTGGACAACCTCAGTGGGGGAGCGGCAGAGAAAGAGGGAGACATTGAATCCAAAGCAGGTTCCAGGCTCTGAGCTGTGAGCACAGAGCCTGATGCAGGGCTTGAACCCACGAACTGAGAGATCATGATCTGAGATGAAGTTGGATGCTCAACTGACTGAGCCACCCAGGTGCCCCTGCCTTTTCTGTTTTTAAATAGACATGGAGGGGCACCTGGATGGCTCACTCACTTGAACCTTTGACTTTTTATTTCAGGTCAGGTCGTGATCCCAGGGTCATGGTATCAAGTTCCATGTCAGGCTCTACACTGAGCATGGATGGAGACTGCTTAAGATATTCTCTCTGTCAATGGGCACCCTCCTACACTGTTGGTGGGAATGCAAACTGGCGCAGCCCCTCTGGAAAACAGTGTGGAGGTTCCTCAGGAAACTAACACTAGAACTCCCCTATGACCCAGCAATAGCACTGCTAGGAATTTACCCAAGGGATACAGAAATGCTGAGGCATAGGAGCACATGTACCCCAATGTTCATAGCAGCACTCTCCACAATAGCTAAAACATGGAAAGAGCCTAAGTGTCCATCAACAGATGAATGGATCAAGAAGATGTGGTTTATCTATACCATGGAATACTACATGGCAATGAGAAACAATGAAATCTGGCCATGTGTAGCAACATGGATGGACCTTGAGGGTGTTATGCTGAGCGAAATAAGTCAGGCAGAGAAGGACAAATACCATGTTTGCACATATAGGAGGATTAGGAGGAACTTAACTGAGGAACAAGGGGGAGAATAAGGGGGGAAATGGTGGGGGAAAGGGAGAGAGGCAAACCATGAGAGAGTCTTGAATGCTGACAAAAACTGAGGACTGATGGATGTGGGGGGGAGGGGGGATGGGCATGGAGGAGGACACTTGTGGGGATGAGCACTGAGTGTTATGTGGAAACTAATTTGACAATAAACTATTTGTAAAAAAAAAAAAAAAAGATATTCTCTCTCTCTCTCTCTGTCTCTCTCTCTCTCTCTCTCTCTCCCTCTCTCTCTCCCTTTCTCCCTCCCTCTCCCTCCCCCTTCTTCTACTTCTCCCTCTGTCCCTTCCGCCTGCTTGTGCATGCTCTCTAAAAATAAAAAGTAAGATAAATGGACACGTAGAATTTGAAATGAACTTGATGAAAAGATAAGAGCAGAGAATAATATGATGGTATATACAGTAAGTGTAAGGTTTCAGAACGTGTTGAGTGTCCTCACGTAGATAACCATTGCTTCGTTGCTCTCAACTTTATTCAACACAGCGAGTAGGTATGGTCCCAAAAGTACATATTCCTTTAAAAAAATTCACAATTTTTTTTCTTTTGCTGGTTTCTGAAAGTCCATAAATAAACACTTTGGAAGAGTGTAGTTTATTCTCACTTTTTAAATGGTATAACAGAGATGTGGATGTATGATTAGTATATATTTATTTCTGCCAGAGTTGATAGTATTTCCCAGATTATAACTTCTGAGTTTGTCAGACTAAGTTGTTTTCTCCAAGTGTTTTCTTAACACTTGGATCTATCTCCTGTTTCCTTTTTCTTCCCTTGCCTGTCCTCATGATTCCCAGACCCTTCCCCGCTGCAGATGTTTCTGTAAAAGTTCAGAAATGAAGTTATTTGAGCAAAATTTTAGCAAAGGACTGGACCTTTCTTCTTTAGTTCCAGAATACATAAATGTTTTCTAATGTTTATTTAGAAAGCTCAAATAATATCTTAGGTTTTTTTGCAATTTGTTTATTAGAACTTGATGGTCCCATTCTTTTTTTCTTTTTCATTTCATTTATATACTTGGTGAAAATATTTTTCAGTTTCTATGTTTATTTCTTTGCCGTGCTTAAATATGCTTAATAGATTACTGTCATTTAAAAGTAATTCCTGCCTCCCTGGGTACTACTGTTTCCTTTATAAAAAATAACATGACTTATTAAAATTAGTTAAGTGTAGTTCTTTCTCTGAGTTGTATAGATGAATCCTATCTGGATTAGTTGAGGTACTTTGCAGAAATGAAGTAGAAATGAAGTATCTTGTAGTATTTCAGGTAGTTTTTCAGTGGTTTGAAAAGAAATTGTTTCTGAAGACCTGTCAGTCTGTTTGTTGCATTAAGGAGTTTTCTTCTTTAAATTATTTTGATGTGTAGCTTGTGCTCTTCAACCAGATATGATAACATTTTGAATTCAGGTGTCGCTGCTGTGACAGCCACCTGCCTTCCTGTAGGAGAGCAGGCTTCCTGTAAATAACTTTGTATGCTAGGTTTAAGATCTCTCATGTTATATTTACTCTTCCTGGATACATGTTATAAAGCTGTGGCCCTGGGAACTTCTTTAATTCCACTCTTGTTTTTCTTTTAGGATTTCCCTGTTGAACTGGTCATCATCGGAATAGCTTTACTACTTCTACAAACTCCAGCAAGTCAGCAGAAGCCGATCTTAAGTCTAGGTAAATAAAAATCCCCTCACAAGAGTAAATCATAAATATAGCATAAGTGGTAGCAGGAGTCATTTGAACTATGTGTTATGCTGTGCTATAAAGTCCTGTGTACTTTGAGTTTCCATTCTAGAATTTTCCTAATTAATCATTCTCCAGTAGAACTTTGTTTTTCTTATTCAACAAGGTGGGAGGTTTTTGTTAAATGTTTATTTATTTTTGAGAGAGAGAGACCAAGCATGAGTTGGGGACAGGTGGAGAGAGAGACACACACAGAATCCAAAGCAGGCTCCAGGCTCTGAGCTGTCAGCACAGAGACCCGTGTGGGGCTTGAATTCATAAACCATGAGATCATGACCTGAGCCACAGTTGGACGCTTAACTAACTGAGCCACCCAGGCTCAAGGTGTTTTCTGCAAGGCTCCTTATGTCATAATTGACCAATTATCTCAGTGGTGCATTAGGACATTATAATCTAAATCCTGTCGCAATGACCTTGGTAAATATTTTGAAGGGCATCTCAGCTTATTCACTTTACATCATACTGAAAATCAATAGCATAAAACCCTTGAAACAAAAGAAAGTGCTTAGCATTTGTGTTCGTTTCTTAAACTCTATATACCTTTACTATTTAAAACTGTTGAGCTGGAGCAAGATTTAAGTTATAGTTACTGTATTAACCTAGCTAGAAACAAATGAAAGATAACATTCTTCTGACTCTCCCGGATTGATTTAAAAAAAAATTTTTTTTTAATGTTTTTATTTATTTCTAGGAGAGAGAGAGAGAGAGACAGTGTGAGCAGGGGAGGGTCAGAGAGAGAGGGAGTCACAGACTGAAACAGGCTCCAGGCTCTGAGC